ACCTTGGGAATACTGGCTGTTGTAAGGTTGGATGTGCGGGTGGTGCCATAGATAATTGCTCGGAATTGGAAATCGGAGAGTCGAGTTTCAATTTTAAGCAGGTTCGTTATATTCACTTACGCACAGATATCCTTAGGAATCCACCTCGCCTCTCCAGCTTGGGTATAATTAGTATGATATGTATCAGTAAAGCATTATTATCTCTCCCACTAAATTCTTACAGTCTAAAAATATTTTCTGGCTTTAAATAATATGCAGAAAGTTGATAAGTCAAACCTACAGAAAAATTCACTCACCAAGCAATTAGCAAATAGCAAATACAATTTACAAGGGTCAATAACGAGAAAAGGAAAACTTTTTCTTAACCGACGCATTTCGCCCACTGATGGACTTTATCAAAGCAAATGTAAGAATTTTATTTGACAACAAGTATTTGTAAACAGAAGTAAAAATATCGTTAGGTTTTCAGATTTTAAAAAAATTAAGAATGCTCATAAATATACTTCAACCTAACTGAAAGTCAAAGTAAATTATGGAGGATGCTAAGGGATGTAATTTAATGTCTACGAAACGAAAGTGGGAAAATGTTGTTTCGGATGAAGTTTGGTAGATTTTCGTGCGTGTTCAAATGAGTCCTAATTGAATTATGGTCGGGTAGGTGTAACGTATGTTGTCTAGATAGGGATGTAGTAGTACGGCCGATATAATTATTTATGAGTTTGGTTTCATCAGTTTCATTAAGGAGCATTTGAACTCGAAAATGTAGTTTTGATTTTGTAGGTTTGTTATTTTTTATGATAAGGTTAGTTGTTTAAAATTGTTTGTAATAGATAATTAAATTTTCTTGTGTATTTATTTATGATATTTCTAAGAGAAAATTCGTCTTGCTTATACTTAACAATGTATTTAGCTTTTGTTGAAGAAGTTAATGTTATAGTTTTTATCTTTTTTTCAGTATCGCTATTAGTTACGTTAATCTGGTGGTCGATGAGGTAGTTAAGAAAACCATTCTTAATTAGCGTCTGTTTTACATTATTTAGTTCAACTTAAACGCTCGGATATACAGAGCTTTTGGACAGTTTTTTCTCACTTTGTGTCCAGAAAAGAAAACACTTGTATGAACACAAGAAAAAAATAAATAAAAAGCTTAATCGTAGTACCTTGTCAGTAGTCTTTAATGAAACATGTATAAAAGAGGGATTGCTGCCCAAATACACAATTTCCACACACACATGCACACACACACACACATACACACACATCTTACTTATTATAAAACGCAGATTGTGTGTGTGTGTGTGTGTGTACGTTTATATATTGGATCGGATTTCCTACATTTTTCAACCGATTTCAACAAAACTTCACTTTTTTTAGCAGGTAGTGTTTCTTATTGTCTTGCACACTTTTTTCTTTATTTTTACATTCAGGGTGCTTTAAAAATTCCACTTACAAGACAATTGTTTATAATGAAATTCTATTCAATCGATAGACTCATAGTCATAACGATTGAAAACAATGCTTTTGTTTGAGTTTGGGTTTGACCAATTCGTAAAAAAAAAAAACCCAAAAACAAAAAAAAATAATAATTACGACACGCGTGTCCGTCAACCTTAAACGATAATCTTTGTCAATTTATATTTCAGTCTTTATGATGGTCGATACTTGATCTATCTCTTACTGTTACATCCCCGGGCAACGCCGGGCTCTACTGCTAGTATATATATAGTTTTAAGGTATGTTATATTTATGACTTAAAGTGCTCAATTTCAGGGATAGAGCGTATGTAAATATAAAAGTGGACATTGAAGTCAACACCTAGAGGCGACGGTCCTTTTCATACTAAATGTAATTTTTGATGATTGTTCAACTAAAAATTTTTTATGATTTTGAAACCAATTTATTTCATTATAATTTTCATATTTTTTATCTGAACTTTACCTCCTACAGCAAATGTATCTAGAATGAAAGGCCTGAATTACACTGAAATTCTAGTATTCAAATTTTTAAAAAAATAATTAGAGATTCACCCCAACAAGAAGGGACCAAATATTGTTTCAAATTAATTCAAAATAGACCTATTAAATCTGAAAATAAACAAATCTACTCTGTTCTTATATCTTTACTTTTTTGGTTTTATCAGGGCCAATAGGATTCCCCCAATTTTGGTCCCCCTAGGCTGCAGCCCATATTAGCCAATATGTAAACCCGGTTCTGCTTACAAATGAATAAAATAAGAAATGTCATTTTTTAAAGGGATACAGCGAATTTTCTCTCGTAGTTGTAAAAATCTGACCTGTCAGGGTCGACGTAGCAGTCACGGCGAATGCTGTTGGCGATTAAGACCGCTTGAGAAATTTGGATTGTGACGAAGGTTTGATCTGCGTCACGTTGAAGTTGGTTTCAAAACTAATTGTCAGTTTTTTAGTTTCAGTCGTGTTTTCCGGGGGTTTTGGTTGACTACTTGACGTTTCGAGGTCCTCTTCTTGCTCCCAGCAGCAATTGTTATTTCTTAATGTTTTAATTTCTTTTTTTTTTGTTTTCTTTGCGACTAATCCATCCTGACATCGCGTCAATGAACATTTATTTTTTCTGACCGGCGACCTCCTTTATATTTAGGTTTATCATAATCAATCAGTAACCATTTTAAAATCTCCCGCCTCTTGCTGATAGAAAATATACCAAAGAAAGAGTTTTCTTTTCCACTAATTTTTTTAGAGCATGCAAATTTTATTCCCCTGAGCCAGACATAGCGTCGCCAAAATTAGAAAAGGCCATCCGAACATGTTATTGTTTATTAAAGTCTTTGCATTTAGGCAGATGTAAGAGACAGATTTTTTCTCACATAAATGTTTATAATGGTTAACAAGCTTGTCCCACAGATAATTAATATTATAATTTAATCTTTAAAGCACGTCCAAACATGTGCGCTAATAAGGTTTCTTTCTTTATCTCCGACAAAATCAACGACACCTTTAGAACATCCTTAAACTAACTAACAAGTTACCACCTTTAAGATAATTTCAAATGGATTTTCTTCTATTTTCTTTGCATGGAATAATAAACCTAAACAATCTCCAGTCTTCCCCTCTGACATTTGAGCCAAAACCCGAGCATAAGATTTAAAAGTAGAGAAGAAATCAATTTAGCATTATCAGAATTCTTTTTCATTTAGAATCTGAGATTCTTTCAAGGAAGAATATAAGAATTGGTTTCGTAATCGGCTTTTGAAATTTCTAATAATGATTACATTTTTGCTAGAAATATTGATTTAAGTTTAAATTTTTATTCTAAAAAATACATTTTTTTAAAATAAACTTTGATGAGAAATTTTACAAAAAATCTCAAAATTATTAATAGAAAGTTTGTATATTTATTATCAAGGCAGACTCAGTTTACAAGTTCATTTGTTAAATCCACTTTAGGACCTCGTTATCCGCGGGAGTTATGGTCTCAGCTGATGATGAAATCAACGGTTAGTAGTAAACCATATATAACAGGTAACTTCAGTAATTGTTACAAGACATTTTAAGCCCATTTGATGACAGAAGGAACACAACTTCCCCCTCCTACTGAGAAATCTATTTGACATGCGGTAAAAAAAAAAAAAAAAAAACATAAAAAAACATTTTAAGCAATTAATAAACTAAATTTGAATTTTCCCTGGGGATCTGATGACTCAGACATTTTATATTTTCAAAATTGTTCTCCTTTTATGTGTTGTCTACCTTCAGGATGTGGGAGATCATGGCTCTCCGCAATTTTCTGACTTTTGTTGCTCTCAAAAGTACTCTCTTATTTATGATTATTTTCCCACAGCAGTATTTATATGCACTCGGACTATTGTTCAGATCTTTGTTATAAACACAACGTTTCAGCTGTTATACCCACTGACCTTCTTCAGAAGTTTATTTACTTGGGTAACCTTAACCTACAGGGAGATTCGAGGTGAACCCATTACTACGGGGATAGATTACTCTTATTCTACTGTCCATGTCAATCGATATCTTGTTTAATTATTTGATTTTGGGTTTTTAGCTTTTATGACCTCGTTATCCGCGGTAGTACATTTTAGTACCTTTTAGGTTTTGGGACCTCGTTATCCGCGGTAGTACATTTTTTAGTACCTTTTAGTAAATTTTCGTACATTTTAGTACCCGCTCGGTTAATGTTAGTCCTGTTTTCCCTAAGTTTATAGTACCCGGCCCAAGATTGAACACATACATTTACAAACTACTACTTTATTCCACTAGGGGTTACAAAACAGAGTAAGACATAAAGATTAAATAAAGAACTGCTACTGTTGCTGAAATGAGCAATGTGAGATAGTTTCTATAATGAAGAGATTGGTTCCTTCCTGGGATTTGTAAAGATTCACAAATGATGGGAATGGGAATTATCAAAATTCTGTTGTACCAATATTCTAATTAGGGACGGCTTATCTAGAAAATCATCATTTATTATGGTACGTTAACATTTCAACCATAATGGAGATATGAAATTCTTAGCGGAAAAGAGAATGAGAGAATTTCAAAGCGTTTTTACAAACTGGAGTTTTAGGAGCCAGTTACCCTATAAATCGCTCTCAGGTATACTTAACCACAGCTATATTAAATTATTTATCAGATTAGTAAACAAAAACACTTAAGACAAGTCTTTATATGGAGAAGCAACGGAATCGAAAAGTATTTCCTAAGTGTATGAAAAGGGAGCGGCAAATTAAAGATAATAGATGTTAGCTAAAGAGCTCGTATATATTTGGACAGCAGAGAATTTAACGATAAGGTGAAACCCACCTGAGGTAATATTGAATTCACACGTGATAAGTGATGTTGCTATGTTCGCTTTCTCCTTCTCTCTCTTTCTCTTTCTCTCTCTCTCTCTGGCGCACACTCACACGTACGTACACATACAAAAAGACTGACCAAACTTTCTTTCTTTCTTTATTAATATCTCTCCATTATTTATATATTTATTTATTTATACGTTTTTCTTTCGTTTTCATGTTTTACGGTTTTCTTTCTTTCTTTCTTTCTTTCTTTCTTTCTTTCTTTCTTTCTTTCTTAATATCTCTTTCTCCACTATTTATTTATACCTTTTTATTTCTCAATATCTCCGCACTATTTATATATTTAAAACTTTTTTCGTTCATTATTTCTTTCTGGGTTTTTCTTTTCTTTTCTTTTCTTTTCTTTTCTTTTCTTTTCTTTTCTTTTCTTTTCTTTTCTTTTCTTTTCTTTTCTTTTCTTTCTTTCTTTCTTTCTTAATATCTCCCCGTTACTTAAATATTTATCTATTTATACGTTTTTTTTATTTTTACTTTTTACAGTTTTCTTTCTTTCTTTCTTTCTTTCTTTCTTTCTTTCTTTCTTTCTTTCTTTCTTTCTAGGGAATTATTTTCTTTTGTCATAATTCTTTCTTTTTACGATATTTTTCTTCTTTCTTTCTACAGATTTGTTTTCTTTTCTCATATTTCTTTCTTTCTTTCTTTCTTTCTTTCTTTCTTTCATTCTTTCCTAAAATCTCCCTCCGTATTATTTATTTATACGTGTTTTTCCTTCTCAATATCTCGCACTATTTATTTATTTATTACTTTTCTTTCTTTTCTTTTCTTTCTTTTTTCTTTCATTTTCTTTCTTTAATATTATTTTACTTTCGCATTTCTGTTTCCCATGATTTAATTTCCTTTTATTCTACTTTTCGTTCATTCATTCTTGCTTCTCGTCTTCTCTTCCTTTCTATGTTTCTCTTCTCTTTTCTCTTTTTTCCTTGCAATTTTCTTTCTTTTTCTTCAGTTTATCGCTGTCATTCCTCTTCCCGCTCTTCTTTCTTCTCTTACTCGTTTTCATTTGTTACTCCTCTTCTTCTTCTTTAATCTTTAATTTTGTTTATCTTTCTCTTTTTCTTCTTCCCCTTTTTCTTCTTCGCCTTTTTCTTCTTCGCCTTTTTTCTACTCTAAACTTTAATTATTATTATTATTATTATTATTATTATTATTATTATTATTATTATTCCCTTTCACACGTCAATAACAAAGACACCACACTTCTTCTTCTTTTTCAATCCTTTATTCTATCTCCCACCGATCCCATCTCTCAATCAAACTTTAAATGACAAATGTCTTCGAGTCACGGATAAGTGGAATCCACTTTGTCGATGGCAAGAATAATTATTTTTCCTTTCACTTATTTACATTTTTTATTCGATTGTAAAAAATATATATATATATATATATATATATATATATATATATATATATATATATATATTAAAAATCATGAAACATTTGATCAAAGCAAGAATAAACGATATCATCATCATCTACATCATCATCGTCGTCGTCATCATCATCATCACTAAACAAGCAAAAAACATCTTTCTTAATCCCAACTGCTATGAGGATTATCATTAACGTTATCATTTGCATCAATATCACTATTTACTTACATCCGCTTAGGTTGGCTGAAGGCTGAAAGTGCGAGGCACCCATTCGAGATAGCTGTAAACTAAACGCTTCCTACTAACAACTGTGCCGCAGCTAGGCGTTCCTCTTACGGCCATATTGTTTTTAGCGTACTCTATCTAGTTTTATAATGTAGTATTTGCCTCACCACAATTCTCCCATATAATTTGCAATCAACATTATAGCAGAAAATCAAAAGAGCCATTTTGATTCTTTTTATAAGCGAAGGGATTAAAGTTTAATAAAACGTAGATGCAAAGATAATTGAATATAAATTAGTAGCTTCTGTTAAAAAAGCCCCCAAAAAACGCCTTCTATATTCATCTACTGATATGAGGAAAGGAATGTCTTAACTTTGATCCCAGTCGGTCAAATAAAACATCAGAACACCAAACAGATTAGACTTAATGGTGTGTATATACTATTTTGCTTTTCTAAAAAGAGAAGAAAAAATATACGAGTTAGATTAAGACTCAGGCGCATCTATGATTGCCATCATTTCAACAGGGAAAGAAGGAAAGAAAAGTTGGATGGAACATCAATTGTTATTGGAATTTCATCCGTGTTCCTTATTTTCTTCAGAATTCTTTTAAAGCATTTATTACAAACTTATGAAATTCTAATATTTAGAGAGAAAATATTGTTGGAGTCTCCATCGAATGTCACTGGAACTTCTTCCGTGTTTCTTATTTTTTTCAAAAAGATTTTCATGCGTTTAAGACTAATTTATGAAATTCTAATATTTCGCAGTGTTGGGTGGATATAAACGTGTATTATATGCTTCAAATATGGTAATTGAAATGGCTACTTGTAACCGTAAGTTTTGTGTCAACTGTTTCTTCTATCACACTTGTCCTTAAGTAAGTTATTTATTTCCCTCCTTCTACTCTTGCTTCCGTTGTGACATGTCAGTAACAGATTTTCCAAGTCTTCTTTCTTTATTATACATCCCATATTTTTCAGCTGTATCTTTCTGACTGTTAGCAGTAGCTTGCTTCTATTAAACTTGTCTAGTTTTTCACAAGCTCTGTCCACGTTATTTTTAGCATTTGTCGATACAACTATATCTTTGATGCTTCAAATCTCTTCCCCATCTTAGAGGAAATTGTATTCACTCCCAAATAGGAAATTACATATTACATAGCATTCATTTCTTTGTTTCTATGGACATTTTCCAGTTCTTTAGTAAATTGCACAGTTTTTGAAAGGCATCTTTCGCTATTCCGAGACGCCATTGGTTTTGAGTGTAACTTTTCTGTCGCCTGATACAAATTTATTTTTACATCCCTTTTATGTAATTCGCTCGTTGGGTTGTCATTTTACACTCTATGTAATTCTCACGTTGCGTTGTCTTTTTACACTCTCTCTATGTAATTCGCACGTTAGTTTATCTTTTTACACCCCCTGTATTTAATTCTCAGCTTGCGTTGTCTTTTTTTTGTGAAAATCAAGCATGCAAATGTCTACAATTACTGTTTAATTTTCTTCTAACTGTTTTCAACTATATTTTTATATTATTTTCATATTTCAGGATCCGCTATCAATACCTTGTGACGTGCTTAGCCTATGGTGGTAAGGTTACGCCCGCCAATAATAAAATTCCGTATGTTTTTTAGAATTTAATAAACAAATGCCTGAAAACTTTAATTCCATTTAATAATTGAACATAGTATAGTAAATTTAATGGTAATGATAATAGAATTAGTCGTTTTTTAATAGGAAACATTCGGCATTTATTACTTAATCTGTTAGTATTACTGTTGGCTGAAATTTATAAGACATTTTAAAGAGTTTTTTTTTGTTTTTTTAAAATAGTTTCAAACAGGAAATTCGACTTCCCAACTTCACTAAATGTTATAGGTCTTTCTAATACTGATGGGAGTTTCCTTTCAAATCTTTTGGTTTGGTTTACGACCTATCAACATCTCAATGGGTTATTTAATGCCGACAAGATTTTTAGGATAGATTCGTATGAATAGAATATGTATTCTTTGTAAAAAAATCAGCTTGTAGATCAGGTTTCATTGACATAAAGTGGGTTATTGTCGATAGTCAAATGTATTGCTGGTAATATTTTTTCTTTTTCCAAAATTCTATTGTTAGTATTTTTAATATAAAAATCTGCAATGTTATTGGTCTTGACATGGTATCTCGGCTTCGGTCACTTTCCCCTTACCGTGACGTAGCTTCCCGTGTCTTTTCTATAAATACTTTCATGCTAATTGTTCCGATGACCTTTCCTCTATGGTACATAGACTTTATTCATTTAAGCGCGGTACTATAAAAGTCTCATTCATATAAAAAAAACAAACTATTTTTATACTTTCATAGTGTTTTGAAAGTTTGTGTGTTAACTATTTGCCCATCACTTCTTCTCCCTCCCCCAGCTATGGGTAAATAGCAGGACAGACTGGGTTCTATAGCCTTAGATAGCAACTGGTCAACCGCAGAAAGAAATGGCAACCTACTGCGGGTAAAAAATCTGCCTCGTCAGTCATCTATCGAAAGGTGCATGATCGCCTAAATGTGTATCCCGCATGGCATATAACTGATTGATTTTGGTTTTATAACACCGGTTTCAGGTAGAGGGAGCACAGCAACGCGGGAAGGCAGACCATCTAGGAGAAGGAAAGCCCTGATTTTAAACATTTACTGCACCTTGCGGTCATATCCAAAACACGGTAAAGGGCTATGGATGTAAATCCAGACAGGAAAGCCGGTTTAAAAATTTCGGGCATATCCTGCAGCAAAGCTGTCCCCAAATGTGATGGCCTATATTCCTTTGAATCTTGTCGGTACGCCGAGAGTGAGGTCATATAGCCTGGGCAGCGCACGGCCTCCATAAACCATCACACAGGCCGGCGCCCTGAGGGAGTCCCTCCAGTTTCACACAGAGCGCTACCTTTATCTCGCGATATAAACGGATACCTAATATACCATCGGTGTTAGACTGGCGCAAACAATCCTGTGTCTAACTTCCTATACTATTTTTATAACTGATCCAGACACCAAGGTATTTAAATGTCTAGAATTTATCAATCTGATTTTTGTGGATTAAGCGTATGTGCTAACTGATTTCTTTTATTAAGGACAGATCATGGGTTCTGTTTTATAAAAGTTTATCTGATGTCCTAATTCTAGGAAGGCTTGGTATAAAATATTGATCTTTTATTCAAGATCACTTTTATACTAACAACGACTACCTATATCATTCACATCATTGTCGGTTTGCTGGTGTCTAGAGGGAAAATAAGCGCTGTGTCTTCTAACTATAAGGGAAAATGAAATAAAAACAACGGTTGTATTTTAACACTAACTGCATTTGAAATTACTATATATAAGTAAAGGTTTGCTTTTCTTATGATTGCCCACTGACTTTACCACAACTTTACCACACTCTCGCCTAGCTTTAGTCATTTTCTGTTGTAATTTTATCGCCGGCTTTATCTCAATCACTCAAAGATCTATACATCTATATTAGTGTTAAAGTTTGTGTGTTTGCATGTACTTACATCATGGCCAAACAGAAAGTCTTTAGTTTTCGCATGAATAAATATTAAATTTCAATATCATTAAAACTACTCAAAGATTAATTCATCTCGTCGTTATCGGCTTCCAGTTTCATCAAAGTCTGTTCCCGTCATCCATTCCCTATCGCTGTTTGGCTTTGAAAGTGTTGGTTGAAGATGAAAGAAAATCAGAATATAAGAAAGCACCGATGGCGTGAATTCGTTTCAGGTGGACCTCAACTTGCCAGGAAGTGATACACTTGATTTCATGACATTCCCCTGCGGCACATATGGTATAAGACATCCAGAATCCAGTTATGAAACTGCAACGGACTGCCGCTGATTCTGTTATAATTTTGAGTGGTGTCAATTGTAGAATGTCCGTCATATGTAGCTCTCTTCATCCACTTGTTCAATCCTTGAGATCCGCTGTAATCATCATTCACTTGTTCCACAGTTGGGTTCTTTGTGATTGGTCGCACATAGACTGGATTCTCGTCTTCGACCTTGCTGCCAAGGGTGGCCCTACTAGGAGTTTAGAATTCCCGACGGCACCGTTCTCAGGGTCATTGGACCACGCAATCCCCGACACCACGACAAGGAGCGACCATCAGAGGTACGCACATAGAAACATACTCAGCTGTAAGAATTATTTTCTTTGCCTAAAATCATCGATGTATTGTGTGTTGAAAGTCAGGAAAAGTGAACTGTTGTTGAAGCAAGACTTACAAATAGAATCGTAGTATATGATTCACATCAGGAAATAGGAGATATCTAAATCTAGTTTAATGTCCATTGGGAACCTTTGATGAAAAAGGAGTTGATCTGTGGTGCCCTCGCTATGTATTGCGTTAATCTCATAAGATACCAAAGCAGGCTTTGTACTCGGTGTTACCTCAGAACGTAAAAGGGTCTAGGGACCTCAGAGAGTTGACCTAGAAAGTAACCATAAAGTGCAGAATTGGAACATGAAAGGTTGGCGGTGTATGCAGCAACACAGACAGGAAGTGAACCTAGCTGAATTTAGGATATACATCCACACACAAGACAACCGGATGATAGGTAGTTATACTGTATACACGCTCGGCTTACGAGGAGGAAAGGCAGAATCCCTTGCATCATCGCAAGACGATCAAGCGTTCGATAAGTTCCAAAGCCTCAATTCACCCGGTATTAGTTTGACCAATCTAGATGTGAATGAACAATTTTTTTACGTATATGAAAATTAGCCTTGTCTTCTTATCAGGGTTTTCCTGACAACATTAATACTCTTTACAAAAAAATAAAAAAAAATTGTTTTTTCTCATTATAAGAGGCATTTTTATGTTGAGTTCATTCTTCACCGGGGGGGGGGGTACAGATAAGTTCTCAATCAGAACAGGAATAGAATTCTTAAAATTCCGAGTTATTCTAGTTTCGTTATATTCTGGAAGGTAATTTTTAGCGTTCTTTCATATACTGATTTTATTGTTACAAACATTACAACATTTCAGCCGATCCATTCTACAACCTTCTTCAGGCGTGAAATCAGTAAGGAAAGATAAGGAGTTCCTTTACCAGAAATATAGCAAATACACTATTTGCCGTTTTCTCTCTTTCCTTGCATTTTTCTCTCTCGCCGTTCGACAGCCATCTGAAGAAGGCTGTAGAATTGATCGGCTGATAAGCAGAAAAAATGAATTTAACTGTCCTAAAAACGCTTCGAATGATCCGAACTCTTCTTCACTATCTGTATCAGCATCAGCTTGAGTTTGTCTTTATTTTTATTCTTTTTGTTATTACAGATTTTCCCGGATACCGTTTCCATGAAACCTTTCGTAAGCCGAAATGGTGTAAAACGAATAATCAATTATTATTTATTTGGATAAAATTTTGAACGTTCCCAGACTCAAAAAATATCTTTGCATGAAATTTCCCTTACGTTTGACAATACTACAATGGTGTTAATTTTGAAAAAGTTTAGGGTAGGTTTACAGTGTTTTGTGTACTGACAAAAGAAGTTTGCGACAGAAAAGAGCATAAGGCTAAGAATTCCCGAGTTCTGATGTTTATCAATCCTTGTAGATCGTCCATAGAAGACAACGAAGCTCGACCTTTGACACGACGACAAGGCTATTGCTGGGATTTGGGAACGTTTTAAATATTTTCCCCTATAAACTAATCGTAACGATATATTCATTTTACGACATTTTTCGGATAACGGGGAATAGCTATTGATGTAAGTATTTCGTAAAAACGAAGTGGCCTAAATCGAATTTGCGGAAAGCGGGAGTTAATGTATAATTGTTGTTTTCTTGTTGCTGTTTTGTTAGTCTTGTTACACTCCTATTTCATCAACATGACAAGCAATACCATTAGAATCTCCTCAACCGTCACCAGCAACTCTCTTCCTCATTATTGTTGTATCAGGTATCCCCATGATGTTCATAATTATTTTTTTCTTGTCACCCATGCACTTACTGGCTTGGTTTTGACGTGAAATAGAAAAGAAATAGGAGGAGCCACGCCTACTGGTACGACGCCTTCCATCTACACATCCCATCCGGGTACCTCTTTAACGTCACTCCTTTCTTTTCTCTACATTTTTTTTTCTTTTTCGTTTTCTTCTTCACATTTCTTTTCCTCCGATGACACCAACTCTTTCCACTCTCCTTAACATGGTCGCAGCTTTTTTTCTTCTTCTTCTTCTTCTTTTGTTACCATCTCTCCTGTTTCTCTCATTCGTCTTCTCTTTTAAATCCCGCTTTCTTAGAAATTTATATTTGCTTTTTCGACAGCTTTGTTGCGTACTTTCCCCTCTCTCACATTTTTACTGCCTCTCTTCCCTTTCGCGTTAGTCTTTACATTATCTTGTTTTTTTCTTTCTTTTTTTTTCTTTCTTTCTCTATAGGCTCATTCCTTCAGATTTCTTTTTCTTCATTTACAACTTTTCTTTCTTCATTTTTTAAATTTTAATCCCTTTATTCTTTCTTTTTCTTTCTTTCTTTCTTTCTTTCTTTCTTTCTTTCTTTCGTCTTCGCAAGCATTTTCCTTCTTTCTCTACCACTCCTACCAAATTCTTCACTTGTCTCTTATTTTTTTTTCTTCATGTAATTTATCTTCTTTCTTTCTTTCTTTCTTTCTTTCTTTCTTTCTTTCTTTCTTTGCCTCCTCCTACCGTTCTTCTCGAACTCTCTGCACACCTTCATTCCTTGATTTTCTCCCTTTTCTTCGTTTTTTTTTTTTTTTGATTGTCTACTTCCTCACTTTGTCTTCTACCTTTCACTACCACTCTTTCTTACTCTTCAGTTCCCACCAACAGGGACATCATCTCCCCACCTCTATTTCTATTCCGTTACACCCACCTGTGCTCATTCCCGAATATATATAAAAAGCCGACCTTTTCTCAACTTCATCACTTACAATTCACACATCGGACACAGCTTTCCAACTGCTGTACCCATTCGGACACTCCATCTTCAACACTTTCAAGTTATCTTTTTGCAAACTTCACTGATTCCGTGTCTTAAAGGCCATAAAAGGTAAGATTAATATATTCTACGTTTTCGTTCCAATCGCATTTTTCTGTTAACAAATTTGATATTCCTGTTTCCAAGAGGGAAACTGCCCTTTAGTAAACTAGATCGAAATAGATCCTATTATATATTTGATCTCTCCCTTCGTTCCCTGATGTACTGACTGGATGAATTTAAGTGTGCCTCTAGACAGGTATCTAGTCCTACCTGTTTACTGTTGAAGTAGCTAAATACTTCTTCTGTACCAGTTTCTTTTCTCGCACTTCCAGCAAGTGGAACTCCCTTCCGTTCCTTCCCTGGTAACTACACTCTTCAAAAATTTAAATGCAACGCCATATTCTATCTTCTTGAATCCCATTCATTTTTTGTTCTTTCATCAATCCTCCCTATTCCCAGCTTTTTTTTCTCACTTTAACCCCACCCTGCGTACTAGTGGCATCCCTGCCTTGCTTGAGGTGAAAGGATTAACATTTTTTAATTCGCACGACCGTTATGCCCCGCCAATATCAATAATGGACTATTCCGTTTTGATTGCGTGGTAAGAGGGGAAAAGACTTGCTTTCAGTGAGAAAATGAAAGAAAGAAAGAAGTGTAGACAGAAATGTTTAATGACGACTAATACCTCATTAATAATCGACTATACAGTTTTGATCGCGTGAAAAGAGGGGAAATGATGCTACTTGATTTCAGTAAGATAATGAAAGAAAAAGAAAGAACGAAAGAAATAAAGAAAAAATGGAAGTGTTTAACAGCTGTTTCGTTGAAAAAAGTTACCAATTTCAAATCTTTTTTATTACTTCTTTAAATAACGACCAGCATTTATATTTATGATTGTTATTGCAATATTTTGTTAAAGTTGTTAAGCTCAAATATTTAACGATGCAACAGAGGAATTTCTACGGATATTTCATTGTCGTAGAACTCACCAGGAGCTTACTCAATCATTAGCTAAAGAATTAAGTTTTATCAGAATATTAAAATAGGAAAACAGTGAAATATTCACGGGTTAAAATTAGTTTGAATTAATATACAAATATGTTACGTACAATTAACAACAATCATATTATAATGCTTAGTTATCACGTACGTCAGAGCTTGCAATTACCTCATAAAGGATGAACTATTCTGTTTGGACTGCGAGGAAAGACGGAAAAGACATATCAGAGACGCACTTTGTTTCAGTAAGAAAAAACAAAGAAAAAGGTACAGGAGGCGATAACGCTCTCATGTGTTTAACATCTGCTTCAGTGAAATGGAAAAATTTAATTTTAAATCTTTTCATTTGTACCCTCTTACTTCTTTAAACAAGGACCTGCATTCATATGTATGACTGTTATTTTAATATTTCGTTGAAGTTGTTAAACTGCACGCGTTGCCATCGGTCTTCTGGTGGCAGCTACAGGCAGGCCACCAGCGGACCACAAGCGGGCCTCTAGCGGCTTGCCAGTGGTAACATTGCCAAAATAATCACGCCGACAGTCTGACAGCGGGCCACAAGCGGTAAACGCTACTGGAATGCCACCCAGCGGCAGATTGGTAGCTTGCGTGTCGAGGAAATATATAACGATGCAACATGGGAAATTCCACGGGTATTTTATACTAGGAGAACTCGAAAGAAGTTTATGCAAACATTAACTTAAGAAACATGGAATATTGCTGTCATATATGGTCTGGTGTCCCCGCTGTACATCTCGAGGTCCTCGAAAAAATCAAGAGAAGAATATGCAATGCGATAGGTCCTGATCTGGCATCTCGTCTACAGTCGTTTTCTCACAGACGTGCCGTGGCTTTCCTCTGAATCTTCTACAAGTATTTTCACAGCGACTATTCCGACGAGCGACTTTCGCTGGTTCCCAGACTGCATGAATTTAAGCGAGCTACTGGGTTGGCATTTCGGTCCCACCCTTTCACCGTCGAAACGGTTAAATGTAACCGTCTCTTCTACTCAAACAGCTTCTTCTCTCGCACTTCCCCTCTATGGAACTCCCGTCCTCTTGCTTGCTTAATGATAACTATAATCTTCAAATACTCAAATTTATTCAAGTCAGTCGACATCTTCTGATACCTTGATCTTGTTCCTCGTCCTTCTCTGTATCCTTTCCTCAAACACGTCTCTTTACTCTTGTTCTCAATCCTCTGTAACCCCTTGCGTGTTAGTGGCACTCCTGCCTTGCTTGGGGTGAATTGTTATATATATATATATATATATATATATATATATATATATATATATATATATATATAAATAAAAAAACATGATTCATCAGAAAATTCAAATACCAAAACCGTAAAAATTATAACGAGTACTCCTCGTATATTTTATTGCCTAAGCAAACTAAATAGAAAGAATGCAAAATGAGGTGAATGTCTTTATCCTACGTACATATAGCGATTTTCCAAGTGTAGCTTTGATGTCGCACAAGGCCGAGAGCATGGGGCACCTAGTGAGGATCGAACTCACTCGTAATTGTTCTAGCGAGACAAGCTTGCTAACCCTTAAACCGCCTCGGGATGCCCTATGATACATACGTATATTTGGAGTTCATATGAATGATTATGAAAAACCTATATTTGAGAAGAATTCGTTATCTGTTGGTTTCATGGAATCATTTCTCTTTCTTCTCTATTTTATTCTCTCTGCCTTAAGTAGTTATAAATTAGACATTTAACCGTCATATGATTCTGTTTAAATGTTGTGAATATAATTTTGCCACTGTGTTTAATATCTGAATGTTAATTTAAGCGGGATTTCATCACATATAAATAAGAAAAGCCAAAAGCACGGCATGGCACAAAAACTACAGATATTGGCTTTTACCGTATTTAACAGAATATAAGGTGCACTTTTTTTTTACTGAAAATATCTTTTAAAATTCCCCTGTGTCTTATATGCCGTATGTAGGTTTAAAATTCGCGATAGTTGGTCGAAATTAGCTACCTGGTAACTCCTATAAGCTTATACTTAAACATGAAGAGCAATGGAACACGTGGATGGCAATGCCTGATCACGACCTTACACAAAAAAGAAGAATAAAAAGACTCAGCATTGCGCAAGTCTGCGAATGGGTGAAGCAAGCTTGGGATAATGGTACGGAAGATGACGCATTATTTAACGACGATGATAGTAGTATTGAAAATGAGTATCAGAGTTTTGATAACGAAGACGACGAATTTTATAGATTTGAAGATGAATAAAATTTTAATGATAACTGTACTGTTTTGCTCAATTGTAATAATTGCTAGATTTTTATTTTGTTTTCTTACCTTTGGATATAATAAAGTTTTTATAGGCTCGTGTTCTATTTTTCATATTATTTTTCGTTTAATTGTAATCATGGTCTGTTTAACCTAAATAATACCTCATGAATATAGCCTAGCCTGTACGTTTTACTAATAATTTAATTAATTTTACTCATTACTAATTTTTTCTTAATTTTCCCCGCTGAAATTGGGATTGTGTCTTATCAACCTATGCGTCTTATATACCGTCAAATACGTTATATCGAGAGATATTTGCAGTATTTTTTATTCAACTCTTATATTGGTGCTGCTAAAATTCAAATTACCAAGAGTTAATGATGATTTTCAAGGCTAGTCAAATTAAGACAAACATGTTATTAGATTGAGTCATAAGTGGTTTCAGTTTCAGGAATGAATTCTAATGATAAAGGTATCATCCTAACTGCTAAACATACGTGGCAGTTAAAAAGACATTTGAAGTAAGTTAGTTTTTACACGTCTGCTGTAGCGTACACATTCGAGTCAAGAATGAATTAATGAAGGGATTGAAAGTGCATTATGTCATAGTTTGTGACTGGACAGAACTCAGTTGCTGATGACAAAACGGGAAGAATATATATCTTAAAACTAAAGCATCTTTTCATACTTTTTAATAATATAGATTTAGATCACTTTACCATGATTTGTATGGTCGCTTGGACATTATCCCCATTTCTTTTGTTACTTTAAATTTTTCCCCTTCAAACAGTCTAAGGGGAAGCATGCTTTATTACATTACCAACTAGCTTAAAAGTCGCATTCAGTGTGGACATCTAATCTAGCTCCTGTGGGGAGCTAATTGGACCTCCAGCATAAAACTAAAGGGACCTCTGGTTCAGTTTAAAAAACAGTAATGATAATTTTGAAGAAATAACTTTGAATTTCACAATTCATTCCATGGAACTTCAAAACCTCACTTTAACTCTGATTCGGGTTATAACTCCAATTCCGCCCAAAAAGACCGATTTGGGTCGAATGTCCGATTTGGGCCGAAAGTCCGATTTGGACCGAAAATCCGATTTGGGTCGAATGTCCGATTTGGTCCGAAAGTCCGATTTGGTCCGAAAGTCCGATTTGGTCCGAAAGTCCGATTTGGACCGAAAGTCCGATTTGGACCGAAAGTCCGATTTGGGCCGAATGTCCGATTTGGGCCGAATGTCCGATTTGGTCCGAAAGTCCGATTTGGGTCAAATGTCCGATTTGGGCCGAAAGTCCGATTTGGACCGAAAATTGAGTTCTTCAAATCGCAAACTCCGTGGAACCTTAATTGAGTTGAGTTGAGTTCTTTCAATAATAAACTCTGCGGAACTTCAAAACATCACGTCACAAAACCTCCCACTTTAAATCTGATTCCTTGGCATTTCGAAGAAATAAAAATGATTTCCTCAATTCACAAAGTTTTGGAGATACTTTAAACTAGATTTAAAACATTATTTTTAAATTACAAAGTTTTGTGTTACTTTAAACTCAATATAAATGAAAAACTTTTAAAATCACTAATTTATTCGCGTTATTTTAAAATTTGAATTTTTAACTGATCCCTATTCAGCCAGACACAAATCCCAATACTGGATTTTCAAGCACTAAATGAATGGCAGATTTTCAATCCTAGGATCATCCCGATTCCAAAAAGATATAATATGTCTATATAAAGCAAATGTGGCTCGAGTTAAGGGTGCTTCAATCACACGGACGGACAGACAGAAGTTTGTTTATTTAGAAATGAC